AGGAACTCTCTGGTTGCCTCTGTTGGTGGAGTCCCTATTCCCGTATGGTCTCGCAGGTGCCGCCGGTACGCTGTCTGGCATTCTGTCGTCCACCATGGCGCCACTTGGATTTGTTCCCTCTCTCTAACCCCTGCTGTCTGGATTGCCTCTTCTATCGCTTGTGTAAGGTCCTGGATTATTGTTTGTAGTTGGCTTTGGTTGCTGGCTCTTGCCGGATCCCTGATACCTATGATATTTAGGCCTACTAGTTTTGTGAACCTTTCTAGGTGTCTCTCTAGTACTCTGTGCTTCTTTGGATCTTCTGCTGCTAGTCCTCGAGTTGGTAATGTCGTGACCTGTGTTGCGTGGTCTGAGCCAGAGTGCATGTCCGGCCGTACCACTGTGTCGGCAAAGGAAATGTTTGAGAATGTTAGGTCTATTACGTGGCCAGCTCGATGAGTTGGCACTCCTGGCTGCCCGATGAAGTCCATGGCGTGAGTCTGGGCCCAGCGTGCGAGCTCTGACCCGCCTCCTGTGGTCACCGAGCCAGGTTCGAAACTCTCATGTCTTGCATTCATATCCCCTCCAATAACGCATCTGTTTGGTGGTGTCAGTTCCTGTATATAGGTGACTGCTGGTTCTGGTGCCTCTCGGTTCTGGTACACGTTAAGTATAGCGTATCCGTTCACCTCTGTCCAGAGTATGTCTCGCGTGACTCTAGGTAGCACTTTAGCTCTTAAATTAACGCCCTTGCGGGTGTAGGTAAGCACCCGTGGCCTTTCGTTCTCGCGTTCCTCCCTGCTATCCCATGCTATCACAGGCGCGTGCATGTGGTACCCTGGATGGTTTTTAGTTACAGTTCCCGGTAGTGTCCATGGCTCCTGGATGCATATCACGTCGATTTTTTCATCTGAGGCGCGGCACAGTATAGTGTCATGACATTCTGAGGCTTTGCCTACGTTCGCCCATGCTATTCGTAGCTGCTTCCAGCCTGGGCAGTGCTGCCCGTTGTATCGTATTGGTTGACGTCCTACCATTGTAGTGCGTCTTCACTCATTTCTGTATCTCCTATAGTAGAGGATAGGCCAGCCTGTATTATGGCTTCTGTCGGTGTAGACACTGTGTGCTCTGTCCTTAGGCTCCTTGTTGAGAGTGCTGCTAGACTTAGACTCTCTCTTGGGGCTGCAGCACGGCGTGGGCGACGGCTCTGAGGGTTCTGGGATGCTGTAGTTGTGATTGTAATTGTATCGGCGTCTATAGGTGTGATTGCGGCTGTAGCGGTATCTGTTCCTGTTAGTGTCTCTTCTTGTTGGACTCTTTTTGCTTGTCTTGATTGCGTAGCTCGCAGTAGCGGCTGCTGGAGCGCAGGTTGACCATCCTGGCTTGGCTGTTCTTCTGCGATGACAATAGGTTCGGCAGCCGTGTCTCCTTTGTCCTGGGACTGCTCGGTTCTTTGGTAGGCACGATTTCCGGCTCTGCGTACACTCTGCAGCTGCTTGCTTGTTAGCCGGATAAGCTTGCCTTGGTAATAGTATGGTTTCGCTGGACAGTTTTTATCCGTCGCGGGGTGTGGTCCATGGCAGTTAGCACAGCGGGCTCGCTGCGCACAGCCTGTACCTATGGGCCCGTTATGCCCTGCTGCCAGCTGGCCGCAGTTGTCACAGCGTGCTGCACGCGTGCACCTAGACGTGTTGCAGTAACCCTGGCATCCCGGGTTGTGGATGGTCACTGGTGGGTTTTTCTTTATCTCTTTTGCCCATTCGCTTGTTCCAAAAATCCGGAATGGTCGTACTCGTTCAGCAAAGGATATTATCCAGGTCATCGTGCCAAACCTGTCTGGACCGTGTCTAGATTGCTTGCAGGTTCGCGGCTTTACTCCTGTCTGGGAATATACTTCCTCTGCAACATTTTCTTCGCTGATTGGTACTGCTGCATCTCCGCCTATATGGAGTCCTATAAGAGCCGCCTCTACACGCTGCACTGCGTAGTTGATCCATTTCTCCGGGAGCTGGAATCCGACTGCACCTAGAGTTTCTAGTATGATTTCAACGTTATCTGGCTGCAACAGGCGGCTCTTGATAGTGTCATTGGCTGGTGTGAGTGCCCAGCCTGTTTTTGTCGTTGTGAGTCTTGGGATGTCTTGCAGAGTGAGGTTATCAATCCTTGCGCACAGTGCTTTTCGCATTACAAAGGGCGAAGGCTGTTTTACTCTCTGTGCTGTAGATAGCTGGAAAAGAATTCGTCTGTCTGGTACGGGCTTATTCGGCGGCTTATTCAGGGTTATGCCGTTTCGGTGGGTTGCTGCCGTCTTAGTTATAGCGGCGCCCCTTTCCTGCATAGAGTGGCTGTTGGGGGGTTTTGCGACTTCCGCATATGTTCGTGTAGGCTTAGGCCCAGCGTCGCTCACAGGCTGGGGGGTGGTCGTGGATGGGTGGTGGATAGAGTTGGTTAGGGCATACACCACACGTTGCTGTAGTTCTTGTGCGACCAGGCGCTCCGCTATGCTAGTGAAGTTCTCTAGGCAATGATCAATCGCGTTCGCGATAGCTGTGATGATGCTGTGTCTAGTTTTGGCGGCCTCTTGGGCTGCCGTGATCTTCTCCGTAACCGCGCCCGTCACCAGTTGTCTCTTGTTAGCACTACCACCGAACGATATAGGTATAGGCGCTGCTTCGGCTTGCCTGTGTCTTTTTGTAGTGCGTAGGTTAGCTAGGCTAGGGGTATTTGGGTCCTCAGGGCGCGTGTGTGTCACTTCTGGAGGTCGAAGTGTCTGCCCTGGGGTACCTGGCACCGCCATCTCTCTGTCAGAGGGAGGGCTGGGCCCGATATGAGTTGTGAGTTGCCTTATTAGGCGCTTTAGGAGTGATTTCTAACAAAAATTTAATTGTTTTGAAGGGTACCATAAAATCACAAAGTTGGTGTTCGGTGTCGTGCGTGCGCGCGGAGTGAGT